TGCATCAAGGAGCTCAAGTGAAATATAATGCTCAGAGCCTATCTGGTTCCTCCTGTTTGCTCACAAACCATACTGACCCTCGGGTTGGAAATATTTCTGTCAACCCAGTACAGTTGCATATTTTGACCTTGCTTACAATATGAAACAAATTTCTTACCCAAAGTAGCTGACCTCAATGGATTCTCACTCTTGTTTTGGTTCTGTAATGGGAGCTCCATGAAATCTTGAATCTGTTATTCTCTCATGAAATGTACCTTGATTCACCAGTTCCAAGACCAGTTGTGTTTGACATGAACTAGTTTGGATCCTTCCACCAGGAAAACTGAAGTCACGACACTCATTCACAGTCAAGAGTGAGAATTCCTGACTGTGAAGTATTTTTTGGTGCTCTACAATGTCACCCCCCATTGGTGGAGATCTGCTTCTCTCTGGACTGTTTGTCTTAAGTAGTATAGCTTCTGGATTAGTTACAGTACTGTTGGCTGCAGACAGTGTGTTTTTAACTGGAATTAAATCTGTAATAGGGTAGCACTCACTCCCATATCAACATTGAGATTACTGAAATAAATACCCTCGAGTCAAAAACCTATGTCTGGATCACTCATTTCCCGAAGAAACATGTTAAGTTTTTCTTCTGTTATAGACAGTTCTACTTCACTAACCTTTTTGTGTTGGTAGCTCTTTGACTTCTTGCTTTTCTGTTACTACTTGCTCCTTCGGCATATTTTCAAAAACTGACATAATGAGTTTCAAAAACAGCATGCTTTTTAATAGTTGGGCACTGTTGCTGCCTGTGAAGTTTCACTTCTTCACATCACTGACAGGAAACTTAAGTGAATGATGTTTGCTATACACACTGTACTCGTTTCTCGCATGTATCTTTTGTGGTTTTGTATCTTAAATCAGAAGAGATTCTGCTCATCTCCTGTGCAGGGGCTGATCTTCCCCTCTGAGGATTGTTCTCTAGTGCTTCAAAACTTATGCTGAACTCACTGTAAGTATGGCTTTCTCCAGAGTTAAATTTTCTCTTGACTTAAATAATGCTGACAAAGATTCAAAAGCAATTCTGACAACAATTCTGATCTCTTACAAATTCCGAGGTTAAACTTCAAGAGTCACATTTCTCCACTTATCTGTCAAGAAAATCAATTAAATTATCTATTGACTTCCCTGGATGCTTAACCCTTAAATTAAAATTTGCTCTTTCAAGAATTTTATGGGTTCTAAGGTTGAAGTAATTGTCAAAGGTTCTCAACACTTCCTCCTATCTTATACAAGTAAAATTGAGGATGTCATATTTTGCAGGAAAAATGCAGAATTGCTGCTTTTTTGGCACTTCTCTGGATGAAACCTGCTGTTAATGGCCGAAGTAAATAATTTCTGGCTCCTTAATGGCATTACTGAATTAATCCTACTATTTGCAGTTTTACTAACATGTTTTATTCTGGTTGATTCCCACTATGTGCAGTTGTAATATTCTTTCTTTCCTTTTTTCCTGAATAACTCCTTTCCTGCTGTCTGTGGCTTCAATGAATGTTTCTTGGCTTCCTTGCACTTTGAAAATGGATCTTCCACCTTTTCTGCAGTCTTCACAAAGTCTCTTAAATTTCCTTTTTCATACAGTCATTGAAAGGAACAGCATGGAAACAGCCCCTTTGTTCCAACTCATCCATGCCGGCCAGATATCCTAAATTAATCTAGTTTGCCAGCATGTGGCCCATATCTCTGTAAACCCTTCCTATTCATGTAGCCATCCAGATACCTTTTTAATGTTGTAATTGTACCAGCCTCTACCATTTCCTGCAGGAGCTCATTCGACACACACTCCATCCTTGGTGTGAAAAAGTTGCCCCTAGTCCCTTTTAAATCTTTCCCCTCTTACATGAAACCTACGCCCTCTAGTTTTGGGAAAAAGACCTTGGCTGTTCACCCTCTCTGTGCCGTCATGATTTTATAAACTTCTATAAGGCCACCCCTCAGCCTCTGACGCTCCAGGGAAAACAGCCTCGGCCTATTCAGCCCCTCCAGAGAGCTCAAACCCTCCAACCCTCGCAACATTCTTGTTAATCTTTTCTGAACCCTTTCAAGTTTCACAACAGAGACCAGAATTGAATGCAGTATTCCAAAAGTCACCTAACCAATATCCTGTACAGCCACAACCAGGCACACCACCGGTCACAGGCCGCCACTCCGACAAGCAACCCTCCATCATCACACTATGTAACCTACTTTCAAGCCAGTTCTGTATCCAAATGGCTAGTCCTCCATATATTCCATGTGACCTTACCTTGCTAACCAGTCTACTATGAGGAACCTTGTCAAACGCCTTACTGTAGTCCGTATAGGTCACATCCACTGCTCGGCCTTCATCAATCTTCTTTGTAACTTCATCAAAAAACTCAAGTTCTTTAGATATAATTTCCCACTCGCAAAGCCATGTGGACTACCGCTAATCAGGCCTTGCCTTTCCAAATACATGTCAATCCTGAGCTTCAGAATCTCCTCTAATAACTTGCCCACCACTGATGTCCGGCTCACTGGTCTATAGTTTCCTGGTTCTTCCTTTCTGCCTTTCTTAAATGGCACCACGTTAGCCAAGCTCCAGTCTTCTCACCCATGGCTATACAAATATCTCAGCAAGGGGCCCAGCAATCAATTCCCTAGCTTCCCACAAAGTTCTAGGGTACACCTGGAAGTTATCCACCTTTATGCGTTTTAAGACATGCAGCACCTCCTCCTCTGTGATATAGACACTTTTCAAGATATCGCTATTTATTCCCCAAGTTCTCTCATTTCCATATCCTTCTCCACAGTAAACCCTGATGAAAAATACTTGTTTAGTATCTTGCTCATCTCCTGCAGTTCCACACACAGGCAGTCTTGCTGATCTTCAAGAGGCCCTGTTTTCTCCCTAGTTACTCGTTTGTCTTTGATGTATTTGTAGAATCGCTTTCATCCAACCTCATCTCCTTAAGCTTTGAATATGCCACTTTATTGTGTTTAATTATGGCATTATGACCTCCCTGGGTCTGTATTCTTGGTTTGAAATGCTTCCATAGCCTTTGATTTCCCTCTCTGTAGCCGTGCTACATGGTTTCCATTCACAATGCTGCTGAAGGACATTCTGGTCAGCAGTTATTTTGATTCTTGCTTTCTCAGCCTCTAGTTCTGTGCCATTTTTAAAGTTTTGGACATTTTGGTCAGCAGTTATTTTGATTCTTGCTTTCTCATCCTCTAGTTCTGTGCCATTTTTAAAGTTTTCCCCTGCCCAGCAAGTTATTTCACTTATCTCACAGAGCCTCTCATGTCCATTTGCAACATAACTGAACTCCAGTTTGGGACTCGTCCTATAGATTACTAGTACACAATGCAATCTGTAACTATGTTAAGTGACAAACATTTCAACTCCAGGAGTCTCCTGCTGTAGCACATTTCTTATCAAGTTGAAATTCAGATTCTGTCTTGCGCCATAAAACAAGGCTACAAAAAAGGACTACTTGCATGACAAACAGCATGCAATAAACAGAACTAAGCAATTCTACAAGAAACAGTTCTGAGCTCTGCAGTCCTGCCACATCCAGTCATGACTGACGGTGGACAAGTAAACAACTCACTGGAGGAGAAGGCCTCACAATTATCTCCCATTCCCAATCATGAGGGAGACCAGTATATCAATGCAAAAAGTAAGGCTGAAGCATTTGCAACAGTTCAGTCAGAAGTGCAGACTAAATGACCCATTTTGGCCTTCTTCAGGGGTTCCCAGCATCAGAGATACCACTCCACATAATATAAAGAAAAGGCTGAAAGCATTGAAAACTGCAAATGTTATGGGCGCTGACAGCAATCTGATAAAAGGACTGAAGACTTGTGCTCCACAACCACCAATGCCCAGGTTAAGCTCCAGTACAGCTACAACAATGGCAGTAATGTAACAATGTGGAAAATTGCCTTAGTATGTCCTGTGCGCAAGAAGCAGAACAACTCCAAACCGACCAATTACTTGAGTCAACACAACACAAAATACCTACTTCAGGAATAACCGGTATGATCCATTGATGATCGCCTCCCAGAATAACTGATTTCTTTCTGAATATAACATTTTCGTTTGTTATATCTCTGAAGTAAATGCCCCACTGCTGGGAGGCTACATCTTGGTATCATTACAGAATCATTCCACATAATAAGTTTTGACTTTCCAATAAATTCTGCTTCTCTAGAATTTACTTACAATTAGCATGTTGAAAACTAGTAAAATGGTCTTGGAATTTTAAAAAGTGAATGGCTGCTCAATTTCTGTACACTGGTGGACGTAATTTAATTTCATGCAATACAGGAACTAGGCTCGACAATCAGATTCCAGTTGTCTGTGGACTCCACATGGTTACACGTGCATCACAGCAGAGATCAGCAAAACAATTGCAGCCAAAGTACTCTCCTTACTGTAAGAGCACTTCTTTAAATCCAGGACTTTCACCATAGGACTTCAACAGAAGTCAGCTATTTGGCTGATCAAACCTGCTCTGCCTTTGCACAAGATCATGGCTGATCTATTTATAACTTCTGAAATAACTCGCCAGAGGCTGGTATTCCAACACCAATTCACCTTTTATTTACAGATGCAAGGTACTTGACACTGGTCCAGCTTCCTCACAGCCAACTCTCAGATTGAATAGAACCCCTGACACACTTGTTTTTATCTGTCAGCCAGGGCTCTCTGATTGGACCAGGTTAACAGCCCCAATCAGGGGACTCACGTTCTATGATATTCATCTGGCTGACCTCATTACAAGCACTACAACCTCAAATCCACATTCCGACATACCCCTAACAACCTATCCACCAGAACCTACAGAATTTTGCAAGAGGACAATCAGCACATCCATGATTTCTGTGGCTATTTCCTTCAGTGCCCTGGCATATATATTATTAGGCCCTAAGGATCGATTAGTATTTTGTCCCATCAATTTTTCCAACATTTTTTTTCTTCCACTTATACTAACCTTCTTCAATTCTCCTTTCCCATCGAACCTTGCTTCCCTCGCATTTCTGGATAGTTGAGTCTTCTTCTGTGAAGGCAGAAATAAAGCTGTTGTTTAATTAATCTGCAATTTGCCTGTTTTAATCTTTTTCTTTTTTCGTACTGACGGAGGCTCTAAGTATCCGCTTTCCGTTCCTTGCAACTTACTCTTTTACTCTATTTTACCCCTTCTAACCAAATTCTTGAACCTCCTTAGCTGACTTCTAAACTGCTCTCAGTTCCCAGACCTGCCACTTTATCTAGCAACTTTATCTGATTTCTTTTTTTTATCTAATATTACCTTAATTTTTTTAAGCAATGGTTAGGCACCTTTTCCTGTTCTGTACTTTCATGCAAAAAGAATGGAAAACAGTTGCATGTTTACATTTGTTCTTTAAATGTTAACCATTGCGTATTCACTGTCATGCCTTTTAACAAAGTTACCCAGAATATTGCAGCTAACTCAACCCACATTGTTTCATTGTTCCCTTTGCTTAGATGTAGGACCCCTAGTTTTGGATTGGACTACTTCACTACTATCCAAGTGAAGAATTCTATCATGTCATGATTACTTTTTCCTCAAGTACTTCTCATAACAAGTTTATTAATTAAGTTCTTCCATTGCACAAAACCAATCCGGGTTCGCCTGGTCCCTAGTTGGTTACTTCTACACAGCCTGGGAATTCACCCACCACAATATTTCTGCTCACATGGTTTGCCGAGCCTCTGTGTCGATTAAAGCCAAATCCTCTTGCAATCAAGGCCAACATTCCTTTCATCTTCCTAATAGCCTTGCTACACCTGTATGTTGGCCTTCAATGACTTATCCACAGGACACCTAGTCCCTTTGTATTTCAAACTTTTCAACTTCTTACCATTTAAGAAAATAATCTGCACATCTGTTTTGCCTTCCCAAGTGGATAAACTCGCATGTTTCCCCATGAAATTCCAAAGCCATTTTCTTGACCATTCACAAATTTTCTTTAAGCTGCTTTACATCTTCCACACAACACACATTGCCACTTCAATTTATATCATCCACAAATTCAGAAGTATTACATTTGGTCCCCACTTCCAAATCATTATAATTATTATGAACAGTTGCGGCCCAAGTACTGATCTTTGCAATACTCCATTTGTCACAGCCTGCCAACTCAGAAAGGACTCATTTATTCCTACTGTCTGTTAACCAACCAATAGTCTATACAAGTATATTATCTCTAATCCTGTGTGCTTTAATTTTTCTCACCAGCCTCCTGTGGAGGGACTCTGTGAAAAGCCTTCTGAGAATCTAAGTACAGTGCATCCTTCAGCTCTCCTTCACCAATCTTGTTCAGAATGTCCTCAAAAACTCCATTAAGCTCATTAAATACAATTTCCTTTTCAAAAATCTCTGCTGACTATGCCTGATCAGATCATTTTCATCCAAGTGTCTATGCATCACATCCTTTCAAAAAAATGCCCAGCACTTTACATACAAGTGCTCTCAGACAAACGGGACTTCGGTTCCCTGTCAACAAGGTGCAGGGCTGGATGAACACAGCAGGCCAAGCAGCATCATAGGAGCAGAAAGGAAACGTCAGAAACATTTCCTACCGACTAACCTCATCCCACCCCCTTGACCTGTCCGTCCTCCCTGGACTGACCTATCCCCTCCCTAACTCCCCACCTACACTCACCTTTACTGGCCCCATCCCCGCCTCTTCGACCTGTTTGTTTCCTCTCCACCTATCCTCTCCTCTATCCATCTTCTATCCGCCTCCCACTCTCTCCCTATTTATTTCAGAACGCCCTTCCCCTCCCCCTTTTCTGATGAAGGGCCTAGGCCCGAAACGTCAGCCTTTCTGCTCCTATGATGCTGCTTGGCCTGCTGTGTTCATCCAGCCCTGCACCTTGTTGTTTCGGTTCCCTGTTTTTCCCCTTTGCTCCTTTCTTAGATAGTGGAGCCATCCAATCTGCAGGTATCATTCAAAATTCTGTAGAATTTTGGAAAATAATCACTAATGTATCAACTATCTCAACTGCCACAATCTTCAACACAGAGATACAGATAATTAGGTCCTTGGGATTTATCAGTTTTCAAGCCTATTAATTTCTCCAGTACAATCTTATTAATTTCTCCAGTACAATCTTATTAATTTCATTTAATTCCTCAGTCTCTGCACCAACTTGAATCTCTAATTCTGGAGGATTCCTTGTGACTTCCTCAGTGGAAACAGACATAAAGTAACGACTTAACTTCTCTGTCATTTCTCTATTCCGCAGAATAAATTCTCCTGTTTCTGCTTACAATGGACTGACATTCGTTTTAGCCAAACCTTTCCTTTGAACTTACTTTTAAGATTTTTACTAGATTGCATTCATGTTCTATTCACCTTTCTTTTCCAGTTTCTTGGTCCTCCTCGGTATTTTAAAAACCTCCTAACCTTCAGAATTCTGCTCTTTCTGGCATCTTTATAGGCCTTGACTTTGAATCTTATACAATCCTGAACTTCCTTTTTTAAGTCATGGGTGACTGACTTGTTTTGAGTTTAGGACCTTGAAGGAAAGCATCGTTGCTGTAAATCACGTAATAGTTCTTTCACGACTGTCAACTGCCTTTTCAATGTATCTTCCCAAACCACCTCAGTCAATTTGTACCACGTGCCTAATATTCTTGAGTAGATTTGTAGCTCGGGTTGTGGATGCTGTGGTTAGTTCATTCGCTGAGCTGGTTCATTACTTTGTAGACGTTTTATTACCCTGCTGGTAACATCATCAGTGCTGCCTCCAATGAAGCGCTGTTGTATTTTCCCATTTGTTATTTAAACTCTGGGGTCCGTTGGAGTTGATTACCTCATTTCCGGTTTTCTTTGCAGTGGTGTGTAAATAGGGTCTAATTCTACGTGTTTATTGATGGCCTTGTGGGTGGAGAACCAGGCCTCCAGGAATTCCCGTGCTTGTCTCTGTTTGGCTTGTCCTAGGATTCTGACGTTGTCCCAATCGAACAATGGTGGTCCTCCTTGTCTGTATGTATGGAGACGAGTGAGTATTGGTCATGTCTTTTTGTTGTGATGAACACCAACGAGCAATGAGGTAATCAACTCCAACGGACCCCAGAGTTTAAATAGCAAACAGGAAAATGCAACAATGCTTTGTCAGAGGCTGCGCTGATGATGTTACCCAGCAGGGTAATGAAACGTCTGCAAAGCAATGAACCAGATCGAAGAGCAAACAAACCACAGCCTAGACGGTCTAGGCCCGAAACGTCAGCCTTCCTGCTCCTCTGATGCTGCTTGGCCTGCTGTGTTCATCCAGCTCTACACCTTGTTATCTCAGATTCTCCAGCATCTGCAGTTCCTACTATCTCTGAAACAGCATTGTACCTCATGCCTTTATAAATTCGTTGTTCAAATTTAATACACTTCCTTCACAATGAACCACCTCACTTTCAAACAGAAAGTAAAATGCTGTCATAAGGTGGGCACTCATCCCTAAAAGCCATAAGATATAGGAGCAGGATTCAAGCAATCATTCAGTCAATTGAGTCCGCTCCACCAGTGGTGACTGTGATATTTTTCAAACACATTCTCCTGCCTTTTCCTTGGAACCCTTGATCCCCTTACTAATCAAGAACCTACCTCTATCTTAAATACACTCAATGACTTGGCCTCCATAGCCTTCTGCAGCAATGAGTTCCACAGAATGACCAACCTCTAGCTGAAGAAACTCCCCCTCATCTCAGTTCTGAAGGGTCATCCCTTCACTCTGAGGCTGTGCCCTCAGGTCCTCGTCTCTCCCATGAGTGGAAACATTTTCTCTACGTTCACACTATATAGGCCTCAGTATTCTGTAAATTTCAATGAAATTCCCTCTCATCCTTCTAAACTCCAACGAATACAGTCCCAGAGTCCTCAACCGCTCCTCATATGACAAGCCTTCATTCTTGGGATCATTCTTGTAAACTTCCTCTGGACTTCCTCCACTGCCAGCACATTTTACCATAAATAGGGGGCCCCCAAACTGCTCACAATATTTCAAATGCGGTCTGACCAGGGCCATATACAGCTTCAGCAGTACATTTGGATTCATACAGGTAGGGCCCTGGGGAGTGCTGCCGAACAAAGAGCCCTCGGGGTGCAGGTGCAGTTCCTTAACTCTATCACACAGAATTTACACCTTGAAACTCTACATTACTTCTAGCTGTTGATGTAATTTCATTTCTTATCAACATGGCAACCCTGCCAACACCAGCCCTGCGCCTTTGCCTATCTTTTCGAAAGGATGCATGTCCTTTGATAATTAGCTCCTTTGTGAAACACTTTACTGCACAGTGACACCACAATCCTTGACGAGTAAACCTTCCCAACTTGCATTAGAAACAGAGTAACGTTTCCTCTGCTCTGTCTCCTGTCCGCTGTCTGTGAGAATCTTGCTTGTGTGAGACAAGGTGGGGGACCGATGTTCATAAATTAACATCTCATTATCATCTAATTATGCCTTGTTTATCTGCAATTTGCTATTTTCCTCGGCACTGAAGAGAAACTGGAGAGGTACTGGATGGTGACAATTCCCAACATGACAGTCTGAACAGGTACATGGTGAATGCAGCTTCCAGGCCTCCAACTTGGCAAGCATTCCCCAACATCTCAGGGGATACTCATGGGCAGCAACCACCTGCACTCTCCGCTATGGAGGTTGGCAATAGCACAGCACTGGCATCACCATATCATAATAGAACATTTGGGACTGAGTACTTGGAGGTTCACAGCATCGCTGCCTTTCTCTTCCTTGCCTTTCAGCACAGACAGAGAGCCAGGTATTTTGTCATGTTCCATAGCAATGAACAATCAAACGCAACTATAATCGGTGGATAAGCTAAGTTGACATCAATCAGGAAATGTGGTGCATGAAAAAGTAGGAAACAGAGACAGCATCAAGGGCTAAGGTGTCTGAGTGCCACTGAAGGAAGATACCACATGCAATATTGAGGGTGGTAGATCATGTACTGAGGTGGGAAATGAGTGCAGTGGCAGAGCAACTGTGGAGTAGCAAAGTTGA